GTTGTTATTTTCCATCTAGTCAATTGTCTTCTCTTTTGTTTAAGATTCCTGGTATGACATTGCCATTCTTGTCATGTCTCATTCTGGTTGTACTGTGTATTCAGTGTCTTCAAACAGCATTTTTTTTTTTTTTTTTTTGCCTCTTGATATGTTTGTCAGTTTTTATTGAAAGTTTGCCACTGTGTACTTGGGAGTAAGAACTGCAATAAATAGGTCAATATATGCAGCTGAAAGACTCCGGAAATGGAAGTGCCTCATGATCTCTATCTGTTGCTTTCTATCCTGTGCTTATGAACTGTGAATTTCACAGTCCTGGCCGCCCCTACCACTCCCTGGTGAAACATGTCTAGAGGGGCTGCAGATGGATGTAGATAAGGCTTAGAACCGTTCAACCAAGGCTTCTTCAACGTTCTGATGGTGTAAAAGTGATATTCATTTGGCAGAAACTCCTCTTCCATGTTTGGATCTTGATCTTTTCCCAGGTCAGCCAAACAAGCTACAGTGTTGTCTTGCAGTGCTGTAGTGACAGCAAGCTACAGTTTCCAGCCAACCATGCAGATATTGAGGCGACAGCCACTCAACAATGCGCCACAGGGACAGTGGTATGGGCTACTAAATTTTGTGATTTCATACCCATTGAGAAACAAAATGCACAAACTAGTCAACATTTACTTAGAGTACTATCATGTTAGATGACTTTTCCCAGCCACTGACCATTGTGAGCAGATCGAGAATGCGGAAGGTAGGCTGGGCTGAGCACTGATATCTGTTAGGTTGCATTAAGTGCATTTTTAGCCAGCACTATGTTTCACCTACCTCCTGGAGCCTCACCTTACATCAAGCAGAAACACCAGCAGACTATGATTAAACTCCAGCAGGTTTGGTGCTGGGAAAGTAGTTGTTCTCCTGGGCAGATCTTGTTAAGAGGATAGCGCTCAGGCAGTCTTCACAGTGCTCTCCCTGCCCCTTTCTCTGACCATTGTAAGTGCCAGGGGCTTGTCTCCACCCCAGTAGTCAGTGGAGAGCCTGGATGAACTACCGAAAGTAAACTTCATGTAGAGCCTGACTTGCTTGGGTTTCTAATGTTTTGACTTTTATACTCCTTGTACTGGCCTCAAGCCACGTGCCAATCACAGTTCATTTCCTGCTGGAGCCCTGTTTCTACACAGCTCCCTCCTCCAGAGGTTGTGTTCCAGACAGGGAGGGATGCTTCTCTTTCCTTGCCTCCAATTTGGAGTAGCAGCTTGCTCTGTGCCCTCATTTTATTCACAATTTTCAGAAGAGCTTTTCCCCTGTAGGAATGCTATGTTGACTTCTAAGCTCCCCAAATTCTAGGCCAGAAAGTAGGAATCTGGGAAGCTTTTTCTGCTCTGTATTTGGGAAGATCATTCTGGTATAAGCTTCTTCTTCTTTTCTTTGTCTCTCTCTCTCTCTCTCTCTCTGTGTGTGTGTGTGTGTGTGTATGTGTGCATGTGGAGGTCAGAAAATAACCTCAGGAGTTGGCACTTGACTCTCATCTTTGTGAGGCAGGATCTCTTTGTCACTAGCTGCTACATACTCTAGGCTAGCTGATACACTAGATTCAGGGATTGTCCTGCCTCTAAATCTCATCTTGCCATAGTCAGACTGGGACTGCATAAAAATGGGTTCTGGAGATGTGTTCTCACACCCCCAAGCCTGTGGCAGGTACTTCACCCACAGGGCCACCTCTCCACTCTTCTTATGTCCCTTCTTCACTTTTATGTGTAGTGGCTTTTTAGATACTTTGGCTGAAAGTTCTTGGTAATAGGATATGGTTATAAATACTTTCTATCCACCAAGGACTGTTTTAAATATAATCACTCTTAAACCTCACAAAAGCTTGTCTTTTTCTCCCTATCATTTAAGGAAACCAAATCACAAAGAGTTAAGCGGTTATTCCAAGGAACATCCATGAGCTCAGATTCTGTTTTACCTGACCCTTGAGTATGTGCTCTAGACCAACATGGTCTTTTATTACATGGCCCCTAAAAATCCCGACAAGATTCTGACCTGATTTAATCATGGGGAAATTCAGGTCATCCAAAAGATTATTCTGGTTATACAAATCTCAGTCCACCATCCCACCATGCAAACTCCCGGCACCTACAATTCCTGCAAGTTATGGCAAGAGCATGGGTTTGTTTTCATTGCTTTACACAGAAACTGATGTTCACATGGAAACACACAGAAACATCACCACAGACACACCTGAAGGCCTTCCTCGTTCTATCAGAGGTACTGCTGAAGTGAAGACAGTGCTAGCAGAAACATCCATGTTCTTATGAATAGAAACAGGCTCACTACTTTCCATGACAAATTAGAGCGGAGTCTTACATAAACATAACTTTAAAGGACAGTAATGTCTTAAGCCAGCCTATGCTGTTCTGATTCTGTTATATACACACTGAGGTTTGCCATCAATAGCAGACAGGCCAATGGTAATCACTGCCAGGAGAGTTCTGCCAACTGTCTCCATGAATGTGTGGCCTGTTCCACAGTCTCTCCATTCAGTCAGCATTCACGTTGACTGGACGGTTTGTTCTTTCTTTATTGCAACATGCATTATGTGCACCGCTAAACCATTTTCTTTTGCTGGAGACTGGTTCAGAATTGAAACTTACAGAAAATATCCGTAGTTCATTGGAGTTCACATTTGTAGGTGCCAGGGTCTGAATATTTCTGTCTTTCCCCCAAAATACATATGTTGATACCTAAACTCCATTGTGGGGACTTGGAAAGCAACTGAATAGTGAGGGTGGAGCTCTTGAGAATGAGATTAAAAGGCTATAAAACAGTGGTTCTCAACCTGTCGGTTACAACCCCTTTGGGGGTTGAAGGGTCACTTCAAAGGGGTTGAATATCAGATATTTACGTCACGATTCACAACAGTAGCAAAATTATAGTTATGAAGTGGCAACAAAAATAACTTTATAGTTGGGAGTCACCACAACATGAGAAAACGTCACAGCATTAGGAAGGTTAAAAACCACTGATCTAAGGGATTCCAGTCTCTTCTGCCAGGGAGGACCCAGCACCCAGGTGACAGGAAGCTGACTCACTCCCACCAGACAGCAGTGCCTGGCACTCAATTACCCACTCAAATTACCCACTCAAGTATTTTGCCATAGCATTCGAGAAGACTGAAGCAGCTGATCTGGGTTATAGGAGAAACAAAGGGAGATACTGAAATATCCAAATGTTCTCTAGTCAATATGTTCCCCCTTTAGCAGCCAGTAATCAACTTGAGGTGATTGATCAATATTGAGAACATTGTATCACCAGGAACAGGAACGTTGTATGCTTTACCCTAGCCTCAAGTGCTTGAGAAAAGGACTCAGATTCCAGGGTATGGGTGTGGTGTGTGTGTGTGTGTGTGTGTGTGTGTGTGTGTGTGTGTGTGTGCATCCCCTGGGCCCAAACAATACTGGAAATTCTTTTCAACAAAGCTACTTTGGATTTTGTTATGGTATCTCTAACTTTTTTTTTTTATGTCTTAAAACACAAGTGTTAAGTGCCCTTCCATTTAATAAGTTTGAGGGTAACAAATACCTAGTTAGTTATGACAGATTTTCTGGATATATTTTTGACATAGCTAAGGTTCTTTTATTCATTCAATGGTCATGGACATGTGCTTTGGGCCTACAGCTCCACTCATGTCAGGCCAAGCACCCAGGACAGCAAAGGCATGTCCTATGGACCAGCAAAGGGAAGATCACTCAGAGAGGCGGGTAGGTTAGGAAGAGACAAGTACCATATTTTCTCAGCAGAGCCAAAAGTAAGGAGGGTTGAAATGTTGGCCTGATGTAGTAGGTTCCCTTCTTCCCTGGAATGTAGGGTTCCCTCAGGCTCTGCAGGCTAGTAGACTTCACACAAGTTTTAAACTCCGTGTATGAAGGAAGAGAGCAGAAAAGGTAAGCCTTCCAGGGGGGACATTCTGAAACACAAGCTGGTACGTGTGTGCTCCTTTCAGAAGCTCCCTGTACCAGACTGCACACTGCACACTGAAAACACCAAGGACCACTCCTAGCATGGACATCATAGAAGGGTATGTTCTTCATGTTGAAAAGAAGCAGTCAAGGCTTGTGTGTCTACAGAAACAATATGTGGAAAATTAATGAGAGATGAAAAATAAATACATTGAAAGCAAGATTTTCTTGTCTAACTTATACAAGGTGCCTTACAAAATAAAAAAAAACATGGCTACTCCGTTTTTGTTTGTTTCAGGTATCACTCCTGCTTCTGCCACACACAGGGAGGAAGCCCCAGTGAGTACAATTCATTATTTCTGTACTCATCCTTCAGGGTTGCCCCATAGGCCATCCCTAGGATCAGAGGGGGATGGAAAGAGGGGTAGGAGGAAAGAGACAATACACAGGAGACCTTTTGTCAGGTCACCTGCTCTTAGTGGCCTCCCTGATAGTGGGGGAACCAAGGGGAAGCTCACTGTGATTTCCACTGGGGCTACCTGTGGCCAGCCAGTTGGAACATGTCAACCCTAAACATAATGCTTGTCTTGCTCTGTTCAGAAAGAGTCATTGCTCATTCCAATGCAACAACCCAAGAGGACTTGGCTTGTGGCAGATATGAGCAGGATAATCACTGCTCAAAGCCAATGAGTGCAATTCTTAAGTAGATATACTCTTGGATTAACCATGAGGAGGCTGCCATTCATATCAGTTGAGGGCAAACGACAAGGACAACTGATTGCTATACAAAGTTAGACATCCTCTTGGCTTTGTTTTCATTTACTAGTTAGGTCTTAAAGCTGGTGACACAGAGAACTTCATTTGAGAAAACTATTAAGAGACTTAAGTCAGAGAAATAAAATGAAGAATGTCATTTCTACTTTATGAATAGACTAGACAATGTTCTTTGAAAGGATGAAGTAAAACAGGAAACAAAAAGGATGTCCTCTTGGCTCACAATGGCCCTCGAGTTCCGGGGTGGACCCCAGCCCCACCCCGGGGACCCCTGCTTACCTTGTAGTTATTCATGATCTCAGCTAGCCAGGGCTTCACTGACTGCACTGTGTCCTCTCGCAGGTACTTCTCAACCTCGGCACCGTCACTGAAGGTCCTGTTCCCCACGTGGATGGCTTGTCTCACTTGCGGGAGTGACAAGAATTTCCCATAGTAACCTTGGTCCTCAGGTTCCTGGCAGAAGGCATGTCAGAAGGTGAAATGGCAGAGGATGAGAGGCATGGCCCACTGGGGAAGCTGAGCCTCTCTCCCAACACACTGCACAGTGAACAGGACATGACTAAACTGCAAACTTGCCCTCATGATTGTCATTTTACTGGGGCATCCTAGGTCAGGTAAGAGGGACTCTTTCCTAAGGCCAAACAGAATTGCCTTCTTTGTAGTCAATATCCAGTTTGCCTGAATTGGATTTTCTTTCTCAGACACTAATCTTTACAGTCCTGCCATCTAATGTCTAATTAGCCAGCCCATTGGAGAGAATGTTGGATAAAGAAAAGAGGTAAGATTATGCAAAGCAATAACCTTGCTTTAGGGAAGAAGGTTAAATGGCTTTTAAGAGACCAGGGGTAGCATAGTGGGTTAAAGCCATGGTTTACTTGCCATTTTCTGCTGCTCATTAATATCTCTCTGTCTCACCTCTCAAAACCAACTGGTTATAATTTATAGGGGAATTGTGTAAAAAACTGATACTTAAAAAAGACATAAAACAAAAGTTACTCACAATCCTTCTTAAAAACCAAAAGCCAAAAAAGAAAGAAAAAAAAAACCACCTTAAAAAAGTCTCTTTATCATTAAACTTAAAAAAAGAAACAAATATTTGTTTAAAAAATCCTCCATCTTACAAAAATACTGTTCAGGATTTATGTTCAACAATTCTGGACTTCATCAGCAATTTTTTTTGGCTGTGGATATATTACTTTTTACAGGAAAACATTGCAATCACAAATTCTGTTTCTGTTTCTTGCCATGTTTTGTTATTGGTAGAACATAAATCCAAAACCACAGGGTTGGGAATCCCACCAAAACTGACTTCATATTTTACTTACAAATAGCTCATAAATAAGGCAATTTAAAAAGTGAATGTATTGTGCTCTTGAGCAGACACTGAGTCCACACATCCAAACTGCCAAGCTGGCTCTCCTTCTCTTATTCACTTCATTCTACACAAAAGATGTCAACTCTGGCCTACTTTTATGAAAGAAACTACTTGAATACTTTAAAAAAGTATTCCAGAGGGCTTGAAGTGAGGGCTGCCCTGAATGCTCTAAACACCTCAGGTTAAAAGTAAGACAAGGCAAACATTTTCCGCAGGGTTTGGTGGTGTTGATTACCTAAGTCCTCCTAAGTGCAGAACAAAGAATGTAGATGTTTGCAGGAGGCATATAGATTGAAGCCTAGACCTAGAACCCAGGGCTGCAGTCTTAGCCTGCACCCTTCACAGAGCTCCATCTCCCAGGGACAAGATCTAGCACGGACACTGAGTTAAGCAGACACCATTCTGGGCTATCTAGAGTATCACATAGTCTCACTGCAAGCCCAGTGAGAAACAACCCTCACAGGGTAGGAGACAACGTTAGGCAACACGTGGTGGACACAGCCATCGAGTTTAAATTGAGCCACGTTTTCCCATCACAGGCAGCTTGGTTTTGTAAGCACACATTGCTGTGGTTTTGAAATAGTGGTTGTTACCGTGCACTGTAAGATGTTGTAGTAATTGGTGCATCCTGTCACATTCTGGAAGTAAGATAGGTCACTTGTTAGGTCTCCATCCAGCAGCTTATCCAGGATCTTGGTCAGGGAGAGAGGAAGAGAAGGACAGCGTCAGCGAGTGGTAACACACATTTGTTATATCATATGGTCAGGTCAGCTTCCATTTTCTTTCCTTTTAGGATGTCTGTCTATATGTGTGTTTGTGTGTGCATATATGCATTCATATGCATGACGTGCATATGAGTGTGTGTGCATGGACACACATGTGGGGATCCAAGGACAACCTATCAGTCCTCAGGCACTGCCCATTGTCTTATTGGAGACAGGGTCTCTCTAGGACTCACCAAATAGGGTAGATTGGGGTCCTCGGCACAAGTCCATGACACCATGCCCAAGCTCTTGTTTTCCCTTGGGGTTTGGAGTTCTGATTCAAGTCTTTAGGACATGACAAGCATTTCACCAACTGAGCTACCTCTCCAGCCCTTCTGTTTTAAAATCTTTTTCATTTTGCTTTCTGAACATTTGCAACAGGCAAATGCCACCACTCATAGGACTTATGTTCTAGGAAAACACAAGTAAGCATGGCGAGGCCACCATGGTCCGGTATCTCAGCATTAGGGGATGGTAAGGAGAACAAGAGTGTGGGTATGTGTGTGTGTGCCTATGTGCAGGAAACACTGAACAAAGATGTTTCACTTACAAGATGACACTTGAGTTTTGACCCACTGGCTGGAAGAAAGCCAAGAATGTAGACAACCATAAAAAGAATGTTCTAGGCAGAAGATAGGAAAACCAGATGCTTCCACGTGCGAATCTGCCTCGTGAGTAGGGTCACCTTCCCATGGTCCCTAGAACACTCACCCACGTGTGAGCAGAGAGGACATAGGCTGTGGGCTGAGAGTCAAGGCCTTGGAGCTGGTGGAGGGTATCTACGGACTCCAGGTTCAGTTACCAGCAGGTTTGGTTACCCACAGGGAGGCTTTGTTGTTCTCCAGCCATTGGCTGCTGCATACGGGCCAGCATGAAGGTAGCAAAGAAGGTACCATGAGCCAGGGCTGCAGCTTAGTCAAAGATGTTGGAGGAAGCACTAGCAGAGCTCAGCATCTTGAATGTGTGACCCCGGGTTTAGATCGGGTAACCAGAGAGATGAAGGCGTAGGGCTTAGGGCTCCTAGAGAGGTGGTGGCTCGGTGGGCCGAAAGCTACCGGAGCTGCACCATTACTACAGTTGCTGCGTCAGCAGACTGGACTAGAGGAATAGGATATGGCGACCAAATAAGGGTGTTTCAGCTTCGGGCTGTGGGTAATGGCTCTGGAAGTTTTTTGTCTGGTTGTTTATTTACTTGGTTGCGTTTGTTTGTTTATATTTAGTTTAGTTTAGGGTTTTGTTTTGTTTTTTTTTTTTTTAGCAAGAATTAGTAAATAAAGGGAAGAAAAAGATTACAGGAAAAAAAATAGAGACTAAGGGACACAGGAACTGTAATGCTCATAATGTGAGCAAAGACCTACAGTATAGACAGCTGCCCTAGACAGTGCTTGGTGGTGCCTGAGGCTCTGAAATGCAAAGCTCAGTGCTTTAGGAGGAAGAGGAAAGTATCCCGGAAGCAACAATGAAGAAGGAGGGAGAGAGCTGCTTTATGAGTCGACACTGGAGAGCTGTGGGGGTACAGGGTATTAGGGAAGGGTCAGGTCTGGGTTAAAGCTGGAAGATGAAGAAAAGAGGAGCTTGTGGGTAGAGTCGGCGTGTCTCTCTGCTGCTGTTGAAGTTTCTAAGAGGGTCCTCTGAAAGAATTGTGTGGCATGAATTCAAAACATTCTAAAAACCACCCATCAAGAATCAGTGTAGTTTATTATAAGATAAAATACCATTATCCTAATGCTCGGTGGGGGAACTAAGATTCACAGAAGTACATACCTTGACCAAGGTACCCACTGATACGGGCAGCCGTGAGTCTCTAAGCCCTCCGTGGCATCAGCCTGTACTCTCAACCACACATTTGCCTGTACTCTCAAACGCACAGTCAGACTGAAGTGCCTCCCTGCCCTCAACACCTCTGGCTGTGCAGTGGTCCTGTGTGGAGATGTGGGCTGTGGATGAGGCTTGAAAAGGGTAAAGAACCATCCAAAGTCTGCTAAGCATGCTGGGAATTCTGCTATGGGCTGCATCTGGAGAAACACCCGCGCTTCGTCTCCACACCGTGGGTGGAGATGCCTGCTTGTTAAACAATAAACCTACAGCTTCCCAGAGCAGGTGCCTTTCTTTAATTTGCCCACTCGGTGCTAGAAGTTGTACTGAATGCACACGCCACTCGTGGAAGGCATCTTTAGAAGCCATCCTCAACACCAGTGAGAGTCAGTTCGGTGGTAGGCCAGTTGGTAAGGTACTTGCCACACGTGCATGAGGACCCAAGTTCAACCCTTGGTCCCTGCATAAAAACCCTGGCTTTGTGGTGCTCGGTAGTAACCCCAGAGCCTTGGAGATGAAAATAGATAGATCCTGGATTCTCTGAGTAGTTTCTATAGCATATATCTAGGTGACTCCCAGGCAAGTGAGAGACCCTGCCTCACAAAGCAAAGAGGAGAGTGATGAACACCTGTGAAGAGGCCTGACGTCAACCTCTGGCCTGCACATATACATACATGAACACATTTGTGCTAGTGTGTATACACCAGCACATGTACACACACCCACACGTATACACACACCCATTTTTAATTAAAAAATAAAACAATAGATTTGCTTTCACCAAGAAACAAAACATCTGCTGTCTAACAAATGATGTGTCTACTTTAGTCCAGACTTTTGAAATCTACTCTCTGATCAAAAATGTGTTTCACAGAGAATGTTTTGTGACTCAGAACATTGTCAGGAAGGAAACAGAAGGGACCAGAGAACGGCCATTTTATTCTTGTAGAGTTGTGAGGATGCCTTGGGATTTTTATAAAACACCCAAGAGCTACTGTATGAGGGAGAAACACTGGGCTAGGAGTCAGGCCAGCCCTAGGCCTCCCACAATCTACATGTGTCCTTCTATGGCTCCTCCTCTCGGCCTAGCATCCCCATCAGTGCGTGAGTAGGGATGACAACAATTAGCCAACAACTGTCTCCCTGTTTCCCTGTCAACAGCTGTTACTGTTCTTTTACTAATTGATCCACCTTGAAAAATCAAAACACTGGGCCAGGGGGAACAGAGGACTCAGGTTCGGTTGCCAGCACGTACATGGTGGTTAACAACCAGTTCCAGGGGATCTGACACCTTATTCTGGCCTCTAGGGGCACCAGGAATGCATGTGGTGCACATACATACATGTAGGTAGTCATACACGTAAAATAAAATAAAATTTTTACAATAAGAGTCAGAACATCATCCAGGCTCAGTCTGTTGGACTTGAAATTTTTGTCCTCATTTTGTGTCCTCTTGAATTTCAGGATGATACAGCATCTTTGGCTAACCCACTAATCACTGCTTTGTCTATTTCCTTTGAAAACTCAGGGGCTTTAATCCATCACTCAAGATCTTAGAGAGATATCCCATACCTTCAAGGGCTGGCAGGAGAGGGTTTTCATTTTAATTTTCTACTGAATTTGGTTTGGGAAAGACTCCTGGGCCAGAGTCTCGTTGTCTCTAACAGTACAAACCACCCACACCTTTCAACAGTTTCTTCAACCCGGGAGTGACATTCCTGTCACATCGTGTGCCACAGACATTATTTTCCTTCCTTCCTTCCTTCCTTCCTTCCTTCCTTCCTTTCTTCCTTCCTTCCTTCCTTCCTTCCTTCCGGCATCTCCACTGGTCTTGCTCCAGACACTGCTTAATAATTTCTATGTGCTTCTTCAAAAGCATAGAAAATGTCTCTCTCTTGCAGTTTAGACTCATGTCATATGAAACCTGGTAGTCATCCTACAATTCTCAAGCTTTCCTTCCCCTCCATCTCTACCACAGCAGGTAGCCTAAACCCTAAAACCCATCCTGAAGATGCTATTATTGCCAGTGAGAGCATGACCTTACATGCTTCCATGACAATCCTGCTTCCTTCATGTTTACAACTGCACGAGGCATTTGGACTCCATATTCTCAGCCACATCTGGTACCCTGACACAGAAAGGAGAATCTGCCAGCATTCTTCCTAGGGCTGGGACTTCCCTTTTCTCAACCCATCTGGGCAGCCTGCTGCTATCAGACTTCATAACAGATCAACCTCCAAAAGGGATCTCAGTAATGTCCTGGTACCCTGCTTATAAAATAAGCATCACTTTAAATTGCCTCTTTTCTTCCCAAGTGTGTATGTCTCCTGTTTCAATCATAATTGGCATATTTGATGCACCTGAATGTCTATTAACACTAAACCTTGGTCTGAACAGTCACAGTCACTTTAGGGACATAGGGTACATGTCTAAGAGCAAGCAGATTGAGGTCCTCAGAGTCCATCCCTTGTCTAATTTACCTGTGTGTCAGGTGGGTTGGTTCTGTAGATGCATAGCAAAAACAATAAAGGAAGGTTGTTTACCTTGTGTTTGCATTGGCTAAAACATACAACTTCCTGTATCTCAGGGTTAATTGTAACCTTACACCTTAAATCACCAAAATCCAAAGAGAAACAAGCAGGTGAAGGCTCAAATCATATCACCACTCTCATGTTCAAGTGTTAATTCTGTAATAATATTCACAAACACTGTGTCTCTTGGAAGGTGTCTCCCATTACACTACACTTTGTAATCTTTGATCCTGACACTTGGAAGCATGTGACTTTGGCTACACACTGGGTCACTTCTCAAATTGAAGTCCCGCTTGTGTAACCCTTCTAAATGTTTCCGAGCATCTGTTGAAGCTCAGGCATCCATTTCCCAGGTTGCCTTGCTTCTGATTTCCATATGTTACAGAATGCTCTCAGGTCCCACAAAGCATTTAAAGAAATCAGAACAGCTAATGAAAGACACAGTTAGATAAGCATGCCAGGATGATCTCAAGTTAAAAACACAGGCGAAGTAAATTCAGAGAAATGCAGTTGTGGCTTTCTTCATGCCCACTCAACTCCTCTCCTGACCATAGACAGAAGAGGGGATAGATATCATCCCGAAATCTGGAGCACCATGATGTGCTTAGTGACCCCGCCTCTCCACAGATGGTTTTAATTCCTCAAGGGCAGCCAGGGGCCCCCAGAACTTACTTCAAAGGCCAGCATCCACTTCTGCTCTTTGATGAACTCTATGCACTTGTTACACTGCTTCTGGAAATGCTTCTTCTGCTGTTCATCCAACAGGCCAATTTCAGACATGAATGTTGCATACCCTCCTATAATCTGGTAACAGAAGTGACACACGTCAGGGCTAGAGAGAGAAGGTCCGAGCATCCTTTGCTTCAAGAAGAAACACTCTGCAATGACCTATCAGTTTTTGCTGGGATCACTCAAGCCAGACAATTATACGCACAGACACGCATACAACAGAAAAGCCAACATACAGTACAATATTCACATCCACACAATCTGTCCTTGGCAACCAACACAGGCTGAAACAATAGGTTGGCACACTGAAAGGTTTTAGCTAAGAATTAAACTTGAGTTAAGTCAACATTATCTTTCAACAAGTTAGGCCTCCGAGTTAAGAGGGGTATTTCATTCGATTCATAGGAATTAGTCTCTTTCAGGGACAGATTAAGAAAGAAAGAAAGAAAGAAAGAAAGAAAGAAAGAAAGAAAGAAAGAAAGAAAGAGAGAGAGAGAGAGAGGGAGGGAGGGAGGGAGGGAGGGAGGGAGAGAGAGAGAGAGAGAGAGAGAAAGAAAGAAAGAAAGAAAGAAAGAAAGAAAGAAAGAAAGAAAGA